TATCCCTACAGTTGTACTGTCTTTAATGATGTTGATGGCGTCTTCGATGTATAGATTAAAAAGTAGCGGTGACAGTGTGCATCCCTGCCTGACTCCCTTCCTAATATTTACTTCTCTACGTTGCATCCCCAGCTCTATAACTGCCTGTTGCTCTTTATACAAACTAAGTATCACTCTTCTATCTTTGTAATTCATCCCTACATTTTTAAGTATATTTAACATCTTGTCCCACGGTTATACGATACGGCTTATTTAATTTTATTTTTATTGGGCTACATATTACATGGTACCCTACAACCCTTTTATTAATAAGTTGCTATTCAGGTGTTGAAAACTAATAAAAATTGAAAAAAAAACATTTTAGTGTTGATTCGTCATACAAAGAATCCATTGTATACCCTCTTGCAACAGTTGATAATACAGGAAGGGTTGTAATGATGAATGGTGGTATTTTTTCCTCGTTTTGCAAAATCGACGTCAGTTATTTTCCATTTGATGTGCAAACATGCACATTAAATTGGGCATCTTGGACATACACCATTGATAAGGTAATTTACAAAAATATCGGGGACCTTAGATATTTAGCACAGTATTTAACTTGAAGGGAATCGAAAGAGTACTTAAAATCCAAATCAAAAATTTAATAGAAATGGAAACATCTTTTCTAAATTGTAGGAAGATTTCACTACTCAATCTAACAAAAGAACTTACACGGTATTGTTTTAAGAATTAACCCTAGAATAATAAGTCTAAAAATTTTCCGTACATTTTTTATTCGTTATTACGACACTAGCAGATACTCGGCAATACTCAACACTTTGTTTAAATACGACGTCAGAGCTCAATCTGCATGTAGTTTTGATGTTCCAGACGTTTCGCCGTTCTTCTCTTTAATGGATCGTCACAACCCAGCAACCGCTATGTCACCACTGAAGATGAAGAACAGTGAAACGTCTGGAACATCAAAATTAAAAGGAATACGACAAAAAAGTCCGGCAGAAACCGCCGCATCATTGTACATCAGCCGTCAAAGCTTAAAATTTTATTCGGAAATTTTAAAACTACCACAAGAAACAACAATTACTCATTGCTAACAGAATAAAGAAGTTTCTGATTATCATCATCTGTGTTCTTCAGATCAATAGGATACGCGAAAACTTCACATGTAAATTTCAAAAACAATAGTTGTGATATTTAAGTTGAATTAATGACAAAAATTAAGGATGTTTGTGCTTTATGACATGTCGACGTTTTGCTAAAACTGGAGTACCTACTAAAGATTTTTTTTTATATTTTCGGGGAAGAGGGGAAATTTTCAAAAGACACGCAGCCGTTCGTACGACTGAGTAGTCTCGGATTCTCGAGGAAGAAGTCCTCGGACCTACCGACTAAAACCCCTCTACCTCAGGCCGTTCTAGGACCAACTAAGGTCCTCTTCAGCCGAGTACTAAAGACATATCTAGATATTATAGTAATTAATTTAATTTTAAACTATGTACTGAGTTCTGAGTTCTGATGAGGATTTGCTAGTGTTAAAACGAAAGAAGAGAAACGTATTTTTGAGCTAACCATAGTACATCACTGTTAGCGAATAATACGTTAGCATCATCATTTAGATACAATAAAAAGTAACAATTCTTAAAAAGCGTTAATAACTAGCGATAATATTTTTCAAGATAAGGAACAATAATTTACAAACTGAAAGCTTTCCGCAATTTTAATTAACATCATGAAGTACAAGCAAGTATGAACTCAGCATTTCTCTACATCTTGAGATCATGAAATATCTTCATTGGATACCATTATTTTGTAAAAAGCTTTAGGCAAAAATTGTATACTTTCAAAGGGGATATTGCTGATTACTTTTACCTTGACAAAATTTAGTTTTAAGAGTAGGTACGTACAGCTTTAAGTTGTAGAGGTTTGTACATTTCAGGTCGATTTAATCCTTGAAGAAAATGAAATATCAACTTTCAGTCCAGAAGACAATGGTGAATTCGATTTGCTGAGTTTCTCTTCAAGAAAATCTATTTTTATTACAGCAACTTATAAAAGATCGATTCCGTACATACAATGCGTATTAAAATTAAAGCGAAAATCGTTAACATACGTCGTTAACTTTATTTTACCGTGCAGTTTAATTAGTGGCATTGGTAAATGCAATTTATTCAACTCTAATAACTAGGTACCTAAATCGTTTTTATCTTATTTCAGGTTTACTCGTCTTTTGCGTACCTTGCCGTTCAAATGAAAAAGTAACACTTGGCGCTAGTTCAGTACTCTCAATGGCCGTATTTTTAATGAAAATTAAAGATTCCCTACCTCCTACAGAAAATACGCCTATACTAAGTAGGTGTGCGTTAAGGTGATTCGTTTTAGACCAACACTTCTCTTTCTATTCATTACCATTATAAAATTTCGTTGTACGTATTGAAAAAATCCTTTCAAATAACTTTCTATCCAATTTTTAAAAATTTCTCATTAATTTATTTCTAAANTTGTGTTTGCACTTAAAACGTTAAATAAAATTTGTACATAGTTGAACATACCTTGTTCTTAGCAATCTTCATTAAAAAAAAGAACATATTTTACATCAAAAATGCGAAAATATTCAACATATTCAAATTTAGAAACACAAAAAATACAAACTTAATTATTCACTCATGTGGCGTAAAAAGAATACCCTGCAACTTGGTATTTTCCTTATAGTTTTCCCTAATTGACACATAGTCAATGTCCGTCTTAACGGAGGTTAATTTCGTAAAGCAGGTTCGTCATCCCAATCTTAGGGTAGGGTCAGATAAGCTTAATTTGGGTTAACTGATTTTTGGTTTTGTCAATTTCAGTCGGATAGACCACACTGACCTAACTCACTCTATCTAACAGTCGAAAGTCAAAAATGAATATAAAAGTCGTTCTGTAGTTAACTCAAATTAAACACGTCGTCCGGTCGCAAAAACAATTTTATATGGGTCCTATTGATACTTTTTTTAATTCGGCCTCGCATATATATAATCCACGAACTGCCAATAATATAAAAATTAAAATTTAAGACTCTTCCAGATTTAGACAAATCAAGCAGTTCAATGCTTCAAACATTGTGATAGCATATGATGACAAATTTAGAAAAGATGTCGTCAAAGCATGTTACTTTTTTAATTAATTTTTCTTTCTGCATGTACCATGAGATCTTGTACTTAACCGGAATAAAAAATCTAAATTTTTTGGTCTAAAGCAAATCCCCCTAATACATAGGTACATATATTATTTATAATTAATAACAATAATTTGATTTCTTTATTTTGAGGTATATACTATGTTTCAAGTATGTGTTTAGTAACATTTGCCACTGGTCTGTCAATTCTGAACATAAACGTGTACCACAGAGGAGAGAGAGGAAATCCTATTTCAAAAACGTTGAAACGGATTGTAAATATTCTGTCGGGGGTTTTTCCATTTTCTCGCATCAATGTAATAAAGAATAAAATATTACAATACTTATTTATTACTGGTATTTGTAGAATTCTTCAAATGAAAAAGTTATAAAGATTTTTTGGAAAAATCAAGTGAGTACAGTAGGCGTTACATTCCCAAATTATCACCCAAATTTATCACAAAGGCGTCTTCTACAAGTTGGAAATATTTCTAGTAGGTCGATTATTATTATCCAGTGTTTTGCATAAAATTAATTTGACATTATAATGTAATCTCAGAAACTGGTAACCAATATCTTGCTTGGACAGTTCTTCGATATGACGACGTGCTTACCTACCAAGAGTGTATTGAAAGAGAAAATGAAGAAAACGAAAAATTAATGCAAGAATGGAAATATGCTTCGATTGTTTTAGATCGTTTTTTTCTTATTATATTTACTTTATTCACTTTATTTACTTTTATCTTCGCAATTACAATATGTATTACGTAGAGTCCATAACTGAAGCCGCAAGACGCGCCTGCCCGCTCCAGGCCGCGCCGTGTAACATGGCCTTAATAGGTTATAAAGGAGTTTGATTCAATTTATTTGGAGTGAAATAGATAATTAAACAGGATTTCTATTACTGTTACTGTAAGAATTCTGCTTATATATATATATAAGAACTTTTAATAGGATAAACGCATTGCATGCTTGTTTTCCAAATTAATTCACTAATTATAAATAAAGAGTAAATGGCACTTAGTAAACGATTAGTAAGTGTACCTACTCACATTTGTAAAATGTATTAATCAAATTTCATCACTGAAATATTAATGATGTCGTGATAGCTTTGCACCGATTTTACAATATCATAAAGTTTATAGATATTCTATCCAATTACCTATGTATCTAATGTTTTACGAGCGTTATTAGAAACTTTTATTAAATAAACGCAATCAATTTCAGTTTTCTTTTCTTTATAAATCAATATGCGAATATACAAAACAATAACTAAAAGTACTGTCATGCAATATTAAACTTACGGAAATGTTAAAAACGCATTAAAATATAAAGTCACAGTTTGCTAGACAAACTTACTAAATCACAACACATCTGTTCCATCAAGTTTATTACGTTATTCACCAAAAATGAAAACAATATCTCCAAATCTACTCATACTAATTCTGATATTATTTGATGGTAGGATGAAATATTCTGATTTGATCATACTTAATTGATTCGTCTGTAAAACCGCAAAAATGGTACGGAATTTTAAATGCTTTACGTTTTTCTTATAGGGAAATATTCCAAAGCAGATGATAACGCAGAGCGACTTACACGAGATCTTTTTTCCAATTACGACGTAAATATCAGAGCTGCAGTAAAATTTTCGAAATCTACTGCTGTAAATTTCACACTTTTCTTACATAGTTTGATTGAGGTTGTAAGTACACCGTTGCCTTTATACATATAATTTTTATCGACAAATAACGTAAAATATTGTGTTTTGTAATGTAATAGTGTAAAAGTCTAAAAATATTTTACATACATAATAAAACTCTGATTTTAAGTGTAAATTTCAGGACGAAAAAAAGCAAATTCTAGTCACGGATTCTTGGATTTTAGCTGAATGGGTTGATTACAGATTACAATGGAATGTATCAGAATATGGCGGATTAAAATCACTTATGATCCCTTCGGAAAATATTTGGAAACCCGATATTAAGTTACACAATACGTATCTATTTACAAAAATCTTTTTGTATTTTTATTAAATTTTCATGTTTACTTCTTTATAGTGCTAATAGAAAATCGAATTCGATGCAAATAGCTACATTCGCAAATGTTTCTAACAAAGGTGAAATTTCATTTTATCAACAGGGCATCTTTTATACTTACTGCAAAATGGATATTAGTTATTTTCCATTTGATACACAAACTTGCTCTCTTCTGTGGGAATCTTGGTCATACGATAGTACAGAGGTAAGAAAAATAACAGTTACAAATATTATTCATGTATTTCTAGATCGAAATAAATAAAATAGTGACAAAAAGTTGAAATAGTAATAATTTAAATGTAACATTAGGTTTGTTAATGCGTATTAATATTATTTTAGTTTTTCTTTGATTCTCTAGTTTTATTGCTAATTGTTCAGGAAAATCTCAAATTATGCTCATTTTTTCATAATTTCTGTTTAATTGTTTTTAAAGGATTTATAATAATTAAAAAGAAATTCGGTTCTCTATATTAGATAAAATTTCACACACATGAAGGAAACAAACCATATCTACTACTATATTTTAAATTTTACTTTTTTTTTGCTTTCTCCAGATTGAATTGACCCCTCAAAAAAAGGTGGGCTTAGTATTGTACGAAGATAGTGGGGAATTTGAAGTAACATATTTTAAATCGTCAAAACGTTTGGTACTGAATGGATCCAAATATTACTGGGTCGCCGAATACACATTGAGACTTCGAAGAAGGCCTTTGGCTTATGTTTTTAATCTAATCATTCCTTGTGGATTAATTAACGCAGTTGGTTAGCTGAGTATACAAAGTACCATCCCGATCCCTCGCGTATCCATCATGTCATCACCCGCGTCTCCCATGTTTTCTCATAACTACTCCCGTACTCTTATTTGTTACATTAGTATCGAATATATTCCTTAGTGTAATTATAAGTTTACTGTTTAAAACATGAAAGTCTTACATCAATTACCATCTTAAAATATTACTTTAGTTTACTGTTAGTTCCGAACGTTTCGTCGGCAACTGCGACTGACATCTTCAGCGATACTGTGTTGACAACGTGGGTGAAGGTTACACCTCAACTGAGTAGCCAAAAGGTCGCTACCGAAGAGGTACAACTTTTGCCCAATTTGTCAATAAAGTACTACTGAAGAAGTCAGCTGTAATTTCCCACGAAATGTCTGCATCTAATAGTTTATTTAGAGCACGGCCTTTAAACCCGAATCATATTTCTACCATTACTTTATTATTTTAGCTCTGTTAGTTTTCTATATGCCATCACAAACAGGTGAAAAAGTAACACTGGGTATTAACTGTTTAGTCTCAATGACAGTGTTTCTAATAAACATTAAGGATTCGCTGCCATCTACAGGAACCATATCAATAATTAGTGAGTACTTTTTACTTTATTACCTTGGAGAAGAAATTGTTGAATAATTTCAGCCGTTCATAAGACTGATTGAACACGCACCTCCTATCCTGAACTAATCATCGCCTTTCCCTAACACCAAAACTTACCACTTCCTTAACTATTTGTGAACAGCCCTTAATTAGATAAAACTCCGTATGTAATAGCGATTAAACACTGTGTTGATATAATTTCCATACATTATAGGTATTGAATCTTATTTAACTGTTTCGGGCGCAGCGAAAAAATCTATCCTTAATACACAAAAATTTTCACAATTCTTTTCTTAACATGTAAAATGTATTCACAAATAATGGTATGTCTGAGGAATCTTTGACGAAACACGGACTCTACATGTTTATAAAGCAATCTGTGAAAATCTTTTAAATCTCAAAAATAAATATGAAAATTAGCCACGGCTTTGAAGCCAGAAACCGCACTTTGTTATCGTATCTCACTTACGTGCATATATACATTTAGTTTAATTTAAAATTTATATATAGTATATTCTGAGCCTGACCAAGACAAGATGAAACTGCAAGGCTAAGACTATTTTTATTCGTCACTAGT